TGTGTCTGTCTGTGTGTGTGGTTGTGTGTGTGTGTGTGTGTGTGTGTGTGTGTGTGTGTGTGTGTCTGTCTGTGTGTGTGGGTGTGTGTGTGTGTGTGTGTGTGTGTGTGTGTGAGTTAATGAACTCAAAATAAAACAATGCTGCAAGTATTGTACAGAGACCATTCAGATCTGTTGAAATAATTATTGGGTCATTCCATGTCAGACTGACCAAATTTCAGAAACTTCTCTTGCTCAAATGTTTGATTTTGATCACATTTTTTCTGAAGAAAGACAAGCATAAATATTGATTAAAGCCAAAATATTAAAGGGGTCATATGATGCGATTTCAAATGTTCCTTTCTCTTTGGAGTGTTACAAGCTCTTGGTGCATAAAGAAGATCTGTAAAGTTGCAAAGACTAAAGTCTCAAATCCAAAGATATATTCTTTATAAAAGTTAAGAGTCAGCCACACCTACCATAAAAAGGCTCGTTCTAACACGCCCCCACATGTCTATGTCACTGTGTGGGAAGATTTGCATAACGCTGCCCAAATGTTCACGCAAAGAAAGAAGGCATAACTTTTATTCTCGCTGTAGTATTGTTGTTGCTGCCGCCATGTCGTGAAGGCGCTGTGTTTCGTTGTGAAAGTGAAACTACTTTGTTTGGTCTTCCAAAAGAGGACGATATCCACTTCGTCATGCCTAGAGCTGATCCGTGCTGGTCGCTGAGGAAATACATAAACTTAGTGTTGTGGATCGCCGGATCGGCTTTCACCGTGGGCGAAGCGGAATCCAGCCCGAGGTCGTCACATGTGGTTGCCGCAAGCCCTCCGGACGCTCCTCACTCTAGCCCGCCGTGTTTTTCGTTGTGAAAGTGAAACTACTATGTTTGGTCTTCCAAAAGAGGACACGACTAGAAATCAGTGGTTAAGTTGTATTTACAACACTGTTCCAGAACAGTTCAACCCAAATATTCAGATGTGTGCAGCGCATTTTATGGAGGACTGTTTCCTGATCCTGGGAGAGTAGACTACAATGCCGGCAGTTCTGACTCACGTAAGTACGTTTTTAATATTTAAAGAATTTGCCACTGACGATTCAAACGCGAGTTTTGAGCAGTGTAGAGTAGAACTTGTTGTTTGTCATTTCTCAGATCACAAATGCAGACATGGTTTTATGTTTACGCGGCGCGATGCAATGCAATGCGTAAAAAGACAGTATAAGTCATTATAATCCGTAATTATGTCCCCACTGGATGCAACAAATGCCTCGCTTATAATGGGTTGTAATGTTTTATCTCGTCGCTCCGGCCGGACACGGCATCACAGTGAGCTTTGTAAAAATCTACGCGTTTCAGAAAGGCGGGGCATAGAGGAGAAACAATAATGTACAGTATGTGGAAAATAATGTGTTTTTTTTTACCTTAAACTGCATAAACACATTTCATTACACCAAATACACAAAATAATGTTCTTTTTAGCAACATCATATGACCCCTTCAAATGTCAAGGTTGTATATTTACTGAGTAATCCAATAATTTGTAGAGGGGGGTCAAAATGTAAATTTTCACTGGAGATTTGGAGCCAAATTACAGGGGGGTAAAATGACCTTAGAAAGATAGCAACATCATTGTTATTTTCACAAAGAGATTGGTAGGTAATTTGTAAGTTTCTTTGGAGAAAAGCGTCTGTTAAATGAATAAATGTAAATGTCTAAAATCTGTTGACTTTAGCAATCTTTGTTGCATTATTTGTCAATTGTGGCAGTCCAAAAATGGGAAAAAGCATTTCTTGAGTTGTATTTGTTTATTTATTTATATTTTGTTCCCAAAATTTGCATGGCTGTAACTCAAGAAATCTTAATATCCTTTTAGATTTAGGTTTTAACAAACTTTTCTTTTGGTATCAGATTTTTTAAGGTCCTATATGGTTCAAATCCACAGTTATTGGGATCTCAGTATGGTTCCAAGAGTAACTTGTTAAATTGTACATCTTTCCAGTGGTCAAAAAAAAAAAAAAGGTGGTCACTTTGTATTCAGCTGATACTTTTTTCTTTTAAAGAAGACTGTCTGAAGAACAAATAATTTTGAAAATTGAAACGTATCTTGACAAAACAATTGCATAGAACAAACCTGACTACTAAAAAATCACAATTACTCTGTAAGTATTTACTATTAATCACTGTTCTATTAAGATCATTGACTCATTAGCAGACTTAATCGATTGTTGCATCCTATCCAAGTAGATAAATTGTAACAATCAGAGAGAAGTAAAAACTGAGCACACAGTTGTTTTAAAGGGGTCCTATTATTTTTTGAATATTGTATCTGTAAATGAATAATGAAGTCCTTTTTCGATTTTCCGAATTTGAATTCTTAATTGAATATGAAAAGAACGAATGATACACAGATTTATTATAGCGTCAAAATCAAATAAATTTGAGAGCGATTTAAACCCGGATGATTGTAAACACTCAAAGTTCGTCTGTCTTGGGAAAGCTAGCCTGTCTCCGACATAGTGATAACACTCGTTGCCTTCTCTAGTGCAGCTCAACCAGGTCTCGTCCCATTCGTCGATATTTGTGATACACAAATCCCGGAAAATATGCATTGTAGTCCGAGTAAACGAGTCGTTCGTTGTAGTTTTTGAAAAGTGATTTCTGTTAAATAAAATATCTCCTTTTGAAGTGGACTTTGAGCTTTGTAACTTTGCAGATCTTTTTTATGCTCAAACAGCAACATTACAGACTAACTAAAGTTGAAAAAGTGAAAAAGCATAATAGGACCCCTTTAACAAAATTAATGAACAACCAAAGAACAACATGACTCTGTGTGTTGGCCTTCAAACATATTATGGGTATCATCACTT